ACGATTGGAATTGTCTAACTTACACGGAGGATGCGTGAATTGCCCCATGGGATCAGTTCCAGCTCTAGGTGATCCTTGAACTGTTGATATATGCTTCCGAGTTGATTGGAGATAAACCTTAAAAAATTATAAAGTTGCCTGGTAGTAAAGAAGAAAGAAGGAAAGTTCTTATCAAGAAAGGCTCCTGAAAAAAACATGAAGGTCTCCCGGTTCCTGCCGAAATGAATTGGGTTAGTATTCCAGAGAAAAAAAGATTCTGGAAAGTTACTTTATCATTTTATTGTCCAGTCGCGGAAAGTTGAATCAATCTCCAAAAACGGTTATGAATTTCAAAAAAATCAGAAAAATATCACACAGCCGTGTGTAAGAGGGCGCTCAGTTGCCAATAACTGCTGCCATGAAAACAAGCTGCGATCTGACCAAACTTGGTGGGATCCGCCATGCTACCTCTTTACAAATATACACTTGAATAAATGGGATGAGTGCCTCAGAGGCCAGCTTTGAAAGCTGTTTATTAATGGGATGGGAGTTCTTACCAATCAGTGCTCTCATAATCTCAAGTAAGTGTGGGTACCCGACTTATTTTGGGGATTGAGGTTGGCTTTGCTTCTCTTTAAATAGGAGATGACTAACAGAGTAACGAGAGTGACTGCTTGGGACCTATTACTGATTTGTACTTTTTCTGAAAGTGCGCCATGTACCCGGCTTTCACCAAGTATTGAAAGCATTTCAAATTTCGACAGTTACAGGAGATCAGAATATATTCAGATGGTACTGAAAGAAGTTCGACATCGATAGGAGTGCTACAGTAGCAATTTGAGTGAATCTAAAGCCAAAAAATCCCATAAGTAACAAAATTGTGTCTTGGAGTAAGATAAAAGTCTGCAGAGAATGGACAGCGCGATCCAAGCTTGTGTAGGGCAATCAGAAACTGTGTAATTAGAGAAAAAATCAGCTGAAAATCTAATTGGTAGGCTTATACCTGGTTTTAGATACATCCGATCTATACAAGATGATCCTGGGGGAAACTAAGCCTGGATAACTCTGGGCTCCCCGGTTGCCTAGAGGGATGGATGGATTTGTTTAATCTGCGATTTGTCTTGGAATTATTCATAAAGCCGCCAGCTGCCACCAAAAAAACTCAGATAGAAGGATTAAAACAGAATCTTCGGGAAATAATGGATTGACTTTATACATTGTTAAGAAGATGTACATACTTTGTGACCGATGGTTTTGGAATTCGAAGGGTAAGTGAAGGAGTGTGACCCTGGGTTTACAATTGGGTAGCCCATTTGATTATCTATTTCCAGTGAACTTGGCTAAGGACGTCTATTACGGTTACGGTTGTAGTTAGGGGGTGTCGTTATCTCCGTTATCACCTTTTGGTTCTAGTCCTGGTCAGTTCAGATGGGTCATACATCTTACTTGGGGGTTCCTACGTCCACAATTGTGAGGAGAATCGCTTTTACTGCTTCAGATGGCTTCAGGTTTCCGCATTCATCCCTATCACTTAGATGATATTGTCCCAAAAAAGAAAAACAGGAGGAAGGGAACCTTTTGCCTGGATCCTGTAGGTAGGATTCGAGATAAAATGATTCGCCTGATTCGGCGGCAACACTGGCGAAGTTTAGTAGGCCGACAGGCACCTTATTATAGGGCCCTTTCATACAAGATGAAGACGAACTCACTTCTGGCAATAGGGGCATAGAGCCTCATAGATTAAAGTGATCTTGATAGGTTTCCGCCTGTGCATTCGTAACGCATCGCATTGTCGTTGTACTCCGCATTGTTGTGCTGACTGAGGACTGTCACACCTAAAGCACAGAGTCATCATCGAACTGCTCCCAGAACGTCTCCATATTCGGTTTTCCTGGAACCTAGGCATTTCCTATGGCTAACTTTCGCCACCTGCTCTACATACCTAGAAATAATTGTTAAATAAAACTAATTTGTCTTCAGTCTGTTCATCAGTGCCTGGTGTTTTGCTCATTGTAAAGTATGCCTCGAGATGTTCGTGTCTAAGAGTTTCATCGCCCACAATCCCATTGTTCCATCAATCAGTTCAGTCGCTTTTTTACGACCAAGTTGCAAATTCAAATGATTGGCAGTTGGTTTCTCGTACTTTCAACACCACACACACACACACACTACAACCTCACACAATCAGACAAAAAAAAACATCAACAAAGGTATGAGATTAAAGAGGACGAAAGGATGCGGTCTGACCAAAGATCTGGTGGTATATTGCAGTAATGATGAGTAGCTTGATTGGTGTAATGATGTGATGGCGATGATGGATAGTAGGTATGATATGCTTTCACTGGATATAGAGCCTTATTTGGATGATAAGGTTGTCCATAATGACGGTTGTGATATGCAGCCAACTGAAAACACCATCTATTTCGCTACCGTAATTCGAGCGCAGTACCTAATTTTTCAAGAAAAAAAAAACGAACCACAACGTTGATGCAAAAAACAATTGGAATAATTCTTGTGCAGTAGTGCATTTGGCAGAATGGAGGGGTTGAAAGAGCCTGTGTGAATGAAAGAACGAGTAGTGCTGAAAAGTGAAGTGCAAAACGACGACGGATGGACGAAGACGGCCCGCCGAAGGACGCACATGTGCTGGACAGCCACGCCCACAATCAATC